CTGCCTGGTTCTGGCTGGTCCCATGGCCGAGTGGTGAAGGGAGTGGGATCCTACCGAGTTGAAAAACACATCAGGCATATGTGCATACATGCCCAAATCCCAACAGGACGGAGAAGTGGAGGAGGAAGGATTGCAGTGCAGCTGCAGCCCACCGGGGAGTGCGTCCTCCTTGGGCTGCTGTCTTTCCTCTCTCTGGTAGGTGTGTGCATTTTCAAGCCATTAAACTGCATGGCCCTAAGATCCCTTCCCCCTCACCGTCCTAGACATCTTTTTGTTTTGTTTTGTTTTTGCCTTTTGTAGAGGTATTTTTGAAAAGGGCACATTCACTTGCCTGAAAGACAGAGAAACAGAAAGCAAGAAATCATCCCAGGGGAGGCGGGCCATACCGCAATCCCTTCTCCTCCCTTCTCCTCTTGGATTTTGGCCATGCAAGCACATGGGTTTAGGCTGCTGGGTCTGGGACTCGAACTGCAGTCAGCTGCGAGTCCAGCAGCGTAACGCTATCTGCTGGGCCCATCCCATACATCTTTAGGCACACTTCTAAGACAGGTAAGATTCTGGCCTCCCATCTCCTCATCAGTAATAAGGACTTCCGATGGACGCACATCTCTGACACACTTCCTGTGGGAGACCAAGGGTTGCCCGCTGAGCTCTGAGGGTGACAGTGAGGACCGGGGAGGCCAGTGGTGACTGTAGAACAGTTGATGACCCCTGCCCCCCCAGGCTTTGCCCTCCCTGCTCACAGCAGTTCCCTCGCACAGCTATGACTATCAGCTGGCCTGCCGTGCTGAAATAAGGAAGTGGTGGACTTCCGCCCCAGGCCTATGCAGTTGCTACAAATGCAAAGAAGGAAAAGAAACATTTCCAACCATACTGCAGAAAAGAGATCCGTAACTGTAACTATTAACTATGCCGGGTGCTCTGGCGGAGGACGGTTGGCAGGCTGGGAACCATGGCTGTCCTTAACAGACACAAAGCAAGTCAGGCTCACAGCGAGGAGGGAAACCACAGCGGCAGGATATGGGCCCAAGGGGCAGGAGCCCCAAGGTGGGGGCACTTGGAAGTGGCAGAGACCTAGGGCAGTCAGGCAGCCTGGGCCTCTCCACCTGCTCTGTTGCCAGGGGAGCGACAGAGTCCCTTTCCAGAAGAGGTTGTTCGGCTTAACTTGGGCAGGCAGGGCACAGCCACCTCCCCCGAGCACAGGGAGCCCCTGCACCCCACATGGTGGTCACTGGCTCATGCTGCCCCTGCACGCCTGTGCTCCACCTTCCCCTTACCCCACAGGGACAGGCTGCGAGACATAAAAGTCTAACACCCAGGGCCCCTCAAAAAAAGAAAGAAAGGAACAAAGAGAGGGTGGGAGGGAGGGAGGAAGAAAAAACCAACACACAACCTGGACACACCAAGCACATCAGGAAAGCTGACCCCATGAGGGAGAGGCCTCAAATAAGCAAATGTATGAAGTGATGCCGAGGGACAGAGGGAAAGGCTGTCCAGTAATGTAGACCACAAAGTGCGTGCATTTTAACCACCCCCCAAATTAACCATATTCCTTGGAAATTAACCACCTGCTTGCTAAAACTTAAAAACTCACGAGATGAATACCAGCAGGATGAACACAGCTGGAGAGTTTTCCCGAGGTAGCGATTAACCTGATGGCTCCACGGAACAGCAAAAATGGCAAAGGAGAAAGAATGAAAAGTGCCAAAAACTGGGGGAAACCAACGCTGGGGCCCCTCCAGTGGTGGTGCAGTCGTAGCACAATGCTCCATAACACGGAGGCCACATGGGAAGGTCCTGGGATCGCATCCCAAGGCCTCCGAGCACATGCAGGGCACATACGCCCATGATCCATGCTGGCTGAGGTTGGGCGTGAATCACGGCATGAAGACCTGTTGAGGGTCTCTCTCTCTGTTTCTCTCTCTCTCTTTCTCTCTCTGCCTTCCTCTTAAGTGCAGGCCCTCGTGCACAGCAGAAAGCACTGATCAAGAGAAGCTGGAACCACATTGTGACCCTGGTTTGAATCTCCAGCCCGGTCAGCTGAAACTCACAGGGCACACAGGAAGCCAGCAGGGAGGGGACTGCAGTGTGACCAGACCCTGTGGAGGGTGCTCTTTTCTTTGTCACATATGCATGTGTACACACATTCTATCATACTAAAGAAAAATAAAATTTACATAAATAAACATTAAAAAGGAGAGAGAAAGGGCTGGCCAGGTGATATGCTGCTCAGGAGAATCCAGGCCCTGCCTGGGGACCACATTTGGGCTCTCCAGCCTGAAAGCACGCAGACACACACGTGAGGGCCCGAGGTCAGACAGGCTGGTCAGACCGCAAGGAGGGTGCTCATCTTTCTCTCTGACACACACATGTGTGCACACCGCTCTACCATTCACCTAAAACCATGTTGAAAATCTAAGCACCTATTAATGAACTATCCTATCTCCCACTCTGGATAACATGCAATGACGCGGGGATGCCGGCTGTGGAGGGCTCTCCCAACTCCCACACAGGCTTAATACAAAAATTAAGCTGCAGAGTGATAGACATGTTAAGACCAAGCACACACATACACACACCAGCACGCTGTCTCCTGAAGACAGGCACACATGTGCACACAGACCGAGGCATGGTGCAAGAGCGGCAGCGCCCCGCAGTCCTTCCCACGGTGGGCTGCGGTGGGGCTCTCGAGGGCCGCTGCTCCGGGTCTGACTCTTTACCAGGGCTTCGTCCTGCAGCAGTGGCACAACCGAAAGCTTCTCCGAGGCAGACAGGATAGAAAGTGCCCTCACCGTTGAGGCCAAGGAAACTAGCGTGACGTTCGCCCCGTCTGATCTGCAGGGCCGCTTCCCTGAACCTCCTTGCCTGGAAGAGGTTGCGACAGCGGTGTCGGTTGTAACCACACACTGCGGACAGGCCCCGTGGGTGTGGCCTCTGCCAGGCATCACATCGAAGCCCTGTGTGATCACTCCAGCGTGTCAAGAGTTCCTTAAAACTGGGGCCTTGGGCCTCTACTCTTAATCTACAAAAATAACCAATAAACGTGACTTAGAGGCTTTATAGCAATCAAATCATTAAAATATTCTCAGCATTTAAGATGAAAAACAACCACACATTCTGCCTCAACTCAACGCAGAATAGGCATCCTGTGATGAGCAGGAAGGGACCAGTGTTTCGCGTAGGGGAGTGGGAGCTCGGATCCCGCAGAAGCTCTCAGAACAGGAGCGCTGCCCCACAGCCAGGAGACGGCCCTGCCACAGGAGCTTTGAGCACGTGTCTCACAAGGGCTCCGACGAGGCCTGCATTGTCACCCTGCTTGTGGGACCTCAGCCTAGTGCTCCTCATGCTGACCTTCCCTGGAAACACCCTCCATACCACACGGCACCCACTCCAGGAACCACGCAACTACACGGAGTACAGAGAAAGGCCGGGGCTGGACGGAAGCCCCACACAGCCCCCCACTCCCGGATTACTGCGAATTCCCTTCACTTGGATAATGCCACGTGGTCGGGTCAAAGACAACGGTGACATGAACACAAATTAGAGTTAAAGCAGTATTTCAGTAAGCATGACTCAAAACAGATCCTGAAGGAAGAAATCACGAAAGGTCTACGCTACCATAAACAAACAGATAAATAACCGTAGAAATAAAATGTTCGGGGTAAAAGTTTTTTTTGACGATTGTGACAACGGGTTTAAAATAGACAACAGGGCGGTGACTGCTGGTAGGAGGTACACTGACACCTCAGGAGGTAAAAGGAGACCCCCACACTCTTCAGTTTTGAATGCTCGTGTAGTAATCTGAAGAGCAACGGCCAGACCGGAGCAAGGACTGAGGGTTTCTGAAAAAAAGGGAACTGAGAGGCGACTTACATATTTGACTAGCTGGGAGACGGGGTTGAGGGGTTTGAACTTTGTGTTAGGGCTGCGGGAAGCTGAGGACAGGCTCAGGCACATAGAAAACACAGAAGCAAGTCAGGGATGCCGCTGTATGAGCCGCTCGCTCTCACAGAGAACCACTGGGGGACATCATGCCATGTGGAAGGCCGGATGGTGGTGCACTGAGAAAATGCAAGGTTCTGCGAGGCTGAGCCACGTGGGAAGGTTGAGGGTTCACATCCGGAGACCTCCCAGAGCACACGGCACCAGCTTGCCCACGATCCCAGCCGGCTGAGGCTGGGGAGGCCATGGGTCCGGGCTCTCGGGGTGGGGTGGGGTGGGGGTGGGCGCCTCCTCTCTCTCTCTTGCTCATAGGAGAAATAAATAAACTTCAAAAATACAGTTATAGAAAACTGGAATTAAAGTATGAGTTTTGGTACAAAATAATGAGAAATTCATGCTTAGTTTTTTCATAATATACATTTTCAATGAACTTTTTGAAAAAAAAAATTTTTTTTAGAGAGATTTATGCAATAGGGCACCAGTGTTTGCCAGAGAGACAAGAGAGACAGAAAATGAGAAATCACACCATCACACCCCCGGGGAGATGACCATGCCACAATGCCTTCTCCTCCATTGTCCTCTCAGGATTTGGGGCACGCACATACATGCGCCTGGAGTGAGTTTTAAGTCCCAGGTCCAGGACTCAAATCACAGTCGACTATGTGGGAGTCGGGGGATGTAACCATTATGCCATCTGCTGGTCCTAAAAAGCCCCTCATATTTACAAAATCATAATGAAGTAAACATCAAATAACTTCACCCCAAATTACAGAACTATTGTCCTGTGGTGGTGCGAGGAGGGGTGGAAACGCACGGTGGCTGGGGACTGCCAAGTCCTAGTGCTCAGAGCAGGGAGACAGCACGGCCTGCCTGCAGGGACACAGAGCAAGGGGGCAAGCCTGCCTGTCACTAGGAAACGAGGACAAGAGCTCCAGAGGAGACTGTCGGGTCACCGGGGAAGTCAGGATGACCGAAAACAAATAATGAAAACCTTGCTTTTGGGGCACAGTATGAAAGGGCATGGAGGGGACCAGCAGTTGGCGTAATGGCTATGTAGCTGGACTCCCTCGTAGTCGACCATGGTTTGAGTCCTGGACCTGGTGGCTTAAACTCACACCGGGTGCGTGTGCGTGCGTGCCCAAGATCCTGAGAGGACAATGGAGGAGAAGGGATTGAGGCGTGGCTATCCTCCCTGGGGGGTGATTTCTCTCTTTCTGTCTGTCTCTATCTTTCTGGGGAGCGTGCGTGCCCTATAGCAAAAACCTTTCCAAAAAGAAAAACAAAAAACAAAAAAAAAAAACAGCATGGAGAACGAAGGGAGGAACTGGTTACAAATTAAAATTAAATGAAAAAAAAAATTACCTGGGGCCACACCAAGACATTTCCATAGCAACTCAACAGGCACGGAGTAAGGTAGTAACTGTCAGACTGGCCAAGACGGGATGAAAAGCTGCCGTTAAGGGCACGGATGGAGTGGGGAGAGAGGCTGCAGGCTGCACGTCCGAATGCTTCTCACAGCCAGGCAGAGCGCACAGAGGCACATTGGGACCGTGGATCCCTGAATCTCTGCCCTGGACCCAGCCCCCCTTCTCCCAGACACCAGCCCACCTTCCCTGTCGCCCCACTGCTGCCTGCATGATTCCCCTCGGCAGGCCATGAATCCCCCCAGCAGGCTCCACCGTGTTCCCTGCTCCACGCTGGAGCCGCTGGGAATGGCTTCCCCCGCACAGAGCTGGGCGAGATCTCGGGCCCCTTGCCTGCTGCAGACGCTCCCGAAAGCTGCTTAGCTGCATACCCTCATAAACGCTCAGTCAGCACCAGCTTTCTTTTGTTTTTTTTTTGGAGAGATTTTCACTGTAGGGCACGTGCGCTCGCCAGACAGACAGAGAGAGACATAGAGACAGAAAGCGAGAAATCACCCCCCAGGGGGGATGGTCACGCCGCAATCCCTTCTCCTCCATTCTCCTCTCGGGATCTTGGGCATGCACGCACACGCGCCCGGCGTGAGTTTTAAGCCACCGGGTCCGGGACACGAACTGCGGTCGACTACGTGGGAGTCCAGCACCATAGCCATTACGCTAACTGCTGGTTCCCAGCACCAGCTTTCTTAACTGTCCTCCCTTCTCCACAGCCTTCTGCCACTGGCCAGCCTGCAGAAATACACAGGTGGCAGCTGAGAAATTAAGTAAGTCCAGAGAGAATCATTCTGGGTTTGTTAAATATATTGTAACATAAGCTAGAAAGTATTCTTTCTTTGGGTATTTTGGCCTTGGCTAAATTTGATTGTCTTTCAAGATATGCAGGGCGAATCTTACATAATTGATTCTTCAGTGTTTTGTTTGTTTGTTTGTTCATCTCCTCCATGTGAGAGAGAATTAGGGGGGGGAACTGAACAGACAGGCACCAACAGGGTCCCCACGTCTCGATCCAACTGCCAGTAGCAGCTGGCCCAGGTCATGGGGCCATGCACAAGTGCTCGGGGAGGATCCGGAACTGAACCCGAAGTCTTTCCCAGCACCACCGCCTTGCCCCATAATTGATTCTTCAAGGGAGAGAAAGACATTTTTAATCACCAAATCAAACTGATACAGATTAATATTTTGTCAAAATTGTAAGCTAACAGAGGGGACAAGCAGATGGCAAAATGGTTATGTCATAGGACTCCCACATAGTCAACTGCGATTTGAGTCCTGGACAGTGGCTTATACTCACACCAGGCACATGTGTGTTCGCGCCCAAAATCCCGAGAGGAGAATAGAGGAGAAGGGATTGTGCCATGGCCATCACTCCCAGGGGGTGATTTCTTGCTTTCCGTCTGTCTCTGTCTCTCCAGACAGCACACATGCTCTATAGTAAAAATCTCTCTCAAAACAAACAAACAAACAAACAAACAAAACTTTAAGCAAATAGGAACTTTCCCTGATAACATAGTATCAAAACGACCTAATATTCCTAAAATCCAGTCAGGCTAGTCAATACTTTTAAGCCTTCTCCCCACCTCTCAGTAGAAAAACCTCTTTTTCTTGGTGCTGAAATCCGAACTGTTCAAATCCAAAAGAGGAGAGTAAGGTGCCTAGACACGATTAAGTCAAGACTGACTACAATCACTAGTGACTGCCTTTGTGCATGCAGACATTTGAAATAAAATCTTCCCCGAAGGCCTACATTCCAATTTTCTGTCACTCCAATTCAGTATTGGAAGAAAACATAAATAATTTGCAAAATAAAGGTAGAAGCTGAGAGTTAAAGGGTGAAAAAAGGTATCTATAGTGAAAGTTGAGAGAGGCAAAAATGAGCTAGGACTGTAAAGCTGCCCTGCCACTCCTGAGGCACAGACGGACAGAAAGCCAGCTGCCACTGTAGCAGAGAATAAGACCTCCTTTAGGGAAACACCGTAGCCCTAAAGGTGCAACCCCTCTGAGTAATAGCGGCTCACCCTGGAATCACAGAAACTCCCCAGGTCACAATTACATCGCTAAAGGCTGAACCATTCCGCTCTTACTTGAAGGATCTATACTGTGATCCATATGATGGAAAATTCAGTGAAATCTTGCTATTTCAAGCTCTCACAAAAGGGGTAAACTGCCTATCTCGTTGCTGGGAAGTGTGAGGTATTGGGCAACAGAAATGCCCTTTGTTGCAAAACTAAATGGTAGTTCAAAGGAAGCCAATGCAGATATGAGACAGTCTGAAAAGCAAGGGGTGTGTGTGTGTGTGTATTACGGGATCTCACCCAGTGCCAACACCTGGCACACACCCCTCGAGGTCGTTATTAACCCCGCTAGTGAAAGGACAGGTACTGTTCAACGTGGAGGTGCAGAAAGCACCCCATGGAGCACAGGACGCTCTGGCTACGTGGGTGCTTGAAGTCGGCAGTGTCGCTCTGTATGCCTGCCCTTGCACATTTTGAGAAATGGTCCATGTTCTGAAACTTCAAGCCTAAATCAAAAATTCTACATTCTGAAAAATGCTGCCTCCCAAAACACAACTTCGATAGGCTCTTGACATACAATATGCT